TCTTCTTTTTTTAATCTGATGATCTATTTTGAGATCCTCAAGCATTACCTATTTTGCACAGGGATTCGCTACCGATTGGTCARTGAAAATAAGCGTTCCCGAAATACTTTTTAGGTGTTTACGACTATCCTATTAGCATTGTTAATTTTTAGTACTAACAATCCATGTCTCGTCTGTTTTGTTCTTGTGCAGAAGACTCCAGTTCAAGCCACAGACAAAGATACAGGAAATAATGCGCTTATGACTTTTTTTCTTGCGGGTAAGATAAAGATTACACAAATTTTTCTTCTTTTTTTTTCTTTTTTTCCTTTTTTTCCTTTTCAGTTTTTGCAACATCCTTTTTCTTCTTTCTCTAATTGGATTTATTTCTTTGTTTTTCCATACAAATTCCTCCATTTTKTGACTGATGATTGGTATGTTAATTTCTTGATTTAGGTTTAGTTGTGATYGTCAGATAATTTTTCGTTTGTCTTCCAGGAAAAGCGTATTAGTTTTCTTTTTGGCTGGGTGGCTGGGTTGGTGGTTGGTTGGTTGGTTAATTGACTGATTAGTTGGTTGTGGTTGATAGACTAGTTGGTTTATAGCTAGCTTGGCTGTTTGGCCGGTTTATATATGATATCATAGTTTTTATATTCTATCAATTAATGTTGTTTGATCGATTTTGCTGAAATTAGTTTTACTGATGTTTGCAGGTCTGGGTTCTGAAAACTTTGTAATCAACGCAACGACTGCTGTTATCACCACAAGGAACGGCAGTTCACTCGACAGAGAGAAAAATGCTTCTTATTCACTGCAAGTGACCGTAGTCGATGGYGGTGGYCGRAATTCAACAGYCGRTCTAACAGTTACTGTAAAAGATGTTAATGACATGTCCCCCCGGTTTTCTAGCTCGAAATTCTACGCCAATGTTTCCGAGTCTGCTAAACGTGGTACTGTTGTCAGGAGGGTGACAGCTACAGATGATGATGAGGGTATTAATGCGCAGATCGTATATTCATCAAATGGGGCAGATGCTAAATTCTATRTAAATAGAGACACAGGTATATTGTCATCTCCATCAACCCATTATTAGTGAAATAACGGCAATACAAATAATTCCAAAATGGCTGACTAGCCCTTGATGTCTTGTTTTCATAAAATTTATTCTTTTGTCTTTGAGCTTGAGTGACTTTAAAATATATAGTGAACTGAAGAGGTTTTATTAACGAAACTAGTTTTTACTATTCTTGGTAGTCCCTGACCARTACTTACGAAAATTATGTTATGGCGTGATTTACATTTGTAAAGTTTATGACTTTAAATAAAAGAACAATTTCATGAAAACGAGACATCAAGGGCTAGTCAGCCATTTTGGAATAAGGTGTATAGAACTTTTAACAGCTGTGTTTTGTCAGTAGTTTCTAAGATCGCATAATAAGTTTCATGAAATGAAAAGTTCATTTGCAGGACCAACAATTTAGTTCTTGCATAAGGGTGTTATTTTTCTTGTAGTTGTCATCGTTTCCTTCGTGGATACGTAAATCCCTTATTATCGAACATTTCCTTACGCGGGATGAACCGATACGCAGTTGTTTTCGACGGCCAAAGGGCATCATCATCATCAWTGTCATCATTATCATCATCGTCATCGTCATCATCATCGTCATCATCATTGCCATTATCATCATCATTGTCACCATCATCATCAGCAGCAGCAGCAGCATCAGCATCATAATACTACTAGCCATTATTCTATTTATATAAATTACTCATTGTTTGTTCGTTTGTYATTCAGGGGATATCATCGTTGATTCCAATCTAGATCGCGAGTTTAAAAGCGAGTACGTCTTAAATATCACAGCAGGGAATTTCATAGGGAACGTGCCAGATGCGTATACACAAGTCTTCATTACCGTTGAGGACGTCATAGATGATAGACCATACTTCAACACATCGTCCATAACCGCACAGCTACTAGAGAATGCTACAATAGATACTTTAGTCACTAAAGTTGAGGCACTAGATAAAGACGTTGGTGACACTCTATCTTATGCAATAGTAAAAGGAGATTTATTTGGTCAGTTTAGAATTGATAACGTTACTGGGGAAATTCGCACATCAAATGCACTCGATAGAGAGAATATAACGCAATATACTCTGACTATTGAAGCCACGGATAGCATAGGTCTAAAAGCAACTGTGCCATTCATTCTCACCATATTGGATGTCAATGACAACGACCCTGTGTTCATGGAAAAATCTCTATTTGTTGAATATCGAGAAGAATCACCAAAAGGCACAAGAGTAACAACAGTGAAAGCAACTGATTCAGATGAAGGCGTAAATGCTAATATTCGTTACGATATAGTGGAGAATATCACTGACTACCTATCTATTGACCCAGTATCTGGTTTAATAACTCAGGGCGATAAACCGCTCGATCGTGAGCAGGATCCTTTCTTCAACTTTACTGTAAAAGCAACTGACCAAGGAGTCCCTTCGAGGTCTGCTGTTGCCCAAGTGTCCATAAACCTGCTTGATGCTAAYGATAATAATCCAACATTTTCCAATAGTACATTCTATGCTTCAGTCAGAGAAAATCAACCTCCAGGAACTCCTGTAATAGTTATWACAGCAACCGACAAGGACTCGGGTAGCAATGCAAAACTGATTTATGGTTTGATTGATCAAAAGTCAAGGTTTTCAGAGGATTTTAAAATTGACGAAAGCACAGTAAGTAAAGGGGGAAGATCACTGTAAAGAATTATCRGTATCTACTAAATATATAAAAAACTATGAAACTGATCTAGAAYTGACTACGTTGGCATAGAAATAATAACAGGGTATTTACAGAAACGTTGCAAGTAGAACATTTAAAGATTTGTGATATGACATAAGAAAAATAAATAAGTTAAATCAAGATAAAATGAAAAAACAAAAACATATCAAACAATTGCTTCGGAGAAAAATAAATTCGTTTGTCAAACTTTTGCTGACCATATATGGCAATCTTACCTTATAAGGAATTACGTTTTTTCCAACTTTTTGTTGCTTTAAAATGGCTAAAAATTGCAAAATTTGCAGAGGAATTGTTTTGCAACATGTCGGACATTATAAATTTGTCCTAGTCCTCTCTAATCCTTGAAAATAAGGGATCCCACAAAAAAACACAGGTATCATTTCTAACGAATGTTAGAAAATTGTATGATATGACAACAAAACGCAATATTAACCATTCTATACTAATACAATTTCTACACCAGCCTTTAAGATATGTTGTTCACATATGATTTCAATTAATATTTATTTTTCTTACTTTACAGGGAAATGTTACGACAGGAGAAAAATTAAATCGGGAAAGAATAAATGAGTATACACTCACCATCCAAGCTCTAGATGGAGCTTTTCGTCCGCGTAGAGGATCTACAACGGTGAGATTGGACTCTTTTCTTTATGTTGTACTTCATTTTCTTAATCTTAGTCGACACGTACATTTATTCACCAAGCACTTTTTACAGGACTGGCCTATCTTATCCCCATCACCTTATGGCACATTCCCAAGATCTCCAGTGAAGCTCACATAAGAAATTTCCAGTACTATCTATGACATCCCTAACAGTCYCGTGTCTCTTTTCTACCCTCTATCCCAATTCCCCTTAGGAACTGTCTGGAGAATCCCTAAGCGTCCCTTGTCTTCTGACGTACACTATAGTCTACTATTGTACGATCCACGATTTCCGTGTGGTTTGTCTTGGACATCCCTCACAACATATTTAAGAGGCTTCTTGTGGTGACAAAATCCATGCTCTACCCCTACACACTTCCAGTCCCTTTTTGCGTAGAAGTCATTGCTGTGCTTTTTTAGTATGTTTTCACTCGATCTACTGTAAGAATTTTGATGAAGAATCGTATTTTTAGTGTACAAAATTAAARTTATTAATTCAAATTTCCAACTATCGTAAGTACAGCTCACAAATAAAGCAAACAAATGACTCTTGCGTAAACATTGTGCGTATGCAGTTTTATATCGAGACTTCCTTTTAAATTAAGTAATTCTTTTTTCCGTACTGCAGCTTATCGTAACCGTCTTGGACGATAATGATCATGCTCCAGTATTTACAGAAGCAACCTACACTGCCAAAGTCAGTGAGAATGTTGGTATTGGYTCTACAGTGACAAAGGTCTCTGCGACGGATAAGGACATAGATGAGAATGCGCGCATAACGTATTCACTCCTATCAGGAAACCAAAGTAAGTCAAATATACACGATTTTCCAAATTCCGATAGGGACRTCCGGCGATTGGGTGAATAATATAGKAAAGCATGGGAACCRGACYCCCAAGGCACTATATCAATCACTTCGAACATCGRTCGTGCGCATGTGTAGTAGTAAAAAAAATTCAAAGGTAATATGGTATCCAATATTCTGTCAAAGCAAGACTTGAGAAAGAYCGACACCATTTTGTTTTATGCACGGAAGAAGAATGGCCAGAAATCGTGTTCAGTCACTAGTCTCCCGATCGGCCTTAGTGATGCATCACTTTTTTTCGCATGTCCTGCAATCATTACAAAACATATAACCTCATTGGTGGGAACTAGCGGTAAACTAGTGTGAACTTCATTGTTGAAAACACAGCATACTTACTATGTCACGACTACTACACGAAAAGATACAATGAAGAAAAGCTGTCGAGCTATTTTATTAACCTCGAGGAAAACCTTCTGGTGAAAAAGAAAGGCCATTACAAACATACATAATTTTTATTTAGTGCTCAAAGTAGTTTATATCAATTGCTATGCTAGAATTCTCCCATAKCAACTATAAACTATTTCTATTGTGTCTTATTTCAATTTCCTCTATAGAGTCTCCAAACTGGTTCTATCTCTACGATCTCTCATGGCCTCTTAACTCTATATCTCATAAAACAACTACTGGATCAACAACAGGTCTTATAAGAGGCGATATTAATATGGTACAAGGCCCTGGGATGTTAGCCATGAACCTTAATGGAATTAATTCTGCTATAAACTTAGGCAGTCTAAAGAAAACCTGCATTACTGATCTAGAACTTTGCCATGAGGGAATGTCTTTAATTTTTTGGCTTAAGCTCGACTCTTTAGCTAACAGCTACACAAGCTTTTCGCGARAAGGCTTTATACTCTCAAGCGGAGGWGAGCTACCGCTCTCCAAGGGTGTGGCTGTATACTTAAACGACTTYAAACTCCATGTCAAAGTCTCTACTTCTAATACACTATGGCACTGTAATGCTTCTTTTATAATTAATCGATGGACTCTTGTCACTWTTACCTGGGCCAACAACACAGGTTTAAGCCTGTATTTCAATAGTTCAAGGACTGCCRCGGACKTTAGTGGAGTAAATACCGCTGAAAGAACTGCAGGCTCGTCTCTACGAGTCTTTATTGGCCAATCAAATGGAATCCAACCCAAACATGCAGGATTTTCAATATCCACTCTTGCWGTGCRGAATAAAATCATTGGTTTGGAGAAAATACGACATATTCTCACCTCAGGTTTCTTATCTTGTATCTTCTTCTTTGATCAAAACTTTTTCTTTCATGATCTTTCTGATTTTCCACATATGAGTCAAGCTCTATTTGTGCCGAATGGTGTAGTAAATACAGGAAGAAGTCTATCTGATTGAAATTCTTATGTTCTTACAGTATAATGTGCTTGATATGTTTAGTTTCAAACATGAATCAAGGCCGAACCTATTGAATTTCGGCGTAAACTAACGTACTCTCCGAGCTTTCATGATGCGTTCGTAATAATCCAGTGAAAGCGCGCGTTATAAAATTTTTATAATGTTTTACAAATGTTAATGAGTTTGAATCGATTGTTTATTTCTTGTTTTTTCTTCTAGATAAGGCTTTTAAAATCGATAATACATCAGGAGTTATAACAGCAGCATCTAAGCTTGACAGAGAAACCAATGATTCATACACTATTGTTATAAAGGTAATTATAGAAACCCTTTTAATTTCCTTCCTGTCTATGTCAGGTTTTTTTCTTAATTAAAAATATAAGCAAAAACGTACTTACCGTTATTCCTATATGCCTTGCAAACTTCAAGACTACATGATCGATTTTTGTTTAAAAAGGTCTGATGAAAAWGGATTRTAAACCAATATGGAATTCGCCTCAAAATGGCTTAYTCAAGTAACGACCGAATTGCATTCCAGTTGCATTGGCATCAGTACCCGTTAATTTATATTAAGATGACACTTCCCTTATCGACATTATCAAAGCATCAAACATTATTTCACATACACTTTGTCATATTTTGTTTTGCAGGCAGAGGATCAGGGGAATCCTGCAAAAAGCAGCAATGCGACAGTTAAAATCACAATAGAAGACTATAATGATAATGTTCCTAAATTCAGACAGTCGAATTACTCAGCGACTTTGAGGGAAAATGCGAGAAAGGTAGTTTTCCTCTCCTCTCCTCTCCTCTCCTCTCCTCTCCTCT